ATTTCATAACTACCCTATAATTAAAGATTAGCCATTAACAGAAAGGTTTGACAATATGCCTTTTAATAAATAACCTCCCATATTAATTAAAAACATTTATCAATATAATTTTCATTCGAATTCTAATTATGGAATCACCAATATAAGATGAAACTGCGCAACGAACTATTTTGTAATTAATTTTTAATCTTGATCTCTTTCACCCAGTCTCATAGTAATTTCTCTAATCTTTAAAATTATTACAAATAATTTAACGATGCCGCTTCAGCCATCGAAGCAATTAAATAAGAAAGAAGAGTCAAAATATCTATATCAAAAATATCTATAAAGAGGAAAAAGGATTTGAGATGACTAACATAACTTTTCTAAAAACGTAATGTGATTATAGTAGACTTCCAATATTTGTTCTTTTGTTTTTTTTTGTAATTGCCATCCGATGGCAGCCGGCAACGTCCAAGATAACGGCCAAGTTAACTTTAATCGAGCGTAAATTTCTGATTGCGCATTAATCGCGTTAAGGAAATAAATTTCGTTGACAACCGTGCAAGCCAGCATCCCACGTTCTTCGGGCAAGCATGTTGCAATTACATCATCGGTGCCGTTCAACCTACTTGTCTGTGACCATTTTTCCATGCCCAGACGCGTTCCGTCGCGTCTCCAGCACGCTTCCTCGGCTGCAATAGCAAATTTCGTAACGGTACACGATTTTTCAGCATGGAATTTTCTATAGGTCTGAACGGGTCTACAAATGCTCGATAAGCGGCACCATACTGACCGAGGCGAAGCACATTAACCTGAGCCTACATTACTTGGAGCAAGTCATAGTATGTCTGGGTCAGGAGAGTGTCGGTCACATTCCGTACAGGTGCTGTACCCGCACTATAGTATTCTAGAATATCGACACGTTCATTTATAATCGGTGGATCCTCAATGTTTTATGTAGAATGGATTTTTGAATGTTTTATGCAGAATGGATTTTCAATTCTTATTAACGTAGCATTGAAATATAAATGCTGCTTAGTATAAGCAGCATTTTATATTTCATTACTAAAGTAACGATAATACGTTTATTGGGGTATTTGTCGATTTTTATTTTAATATTTATCGCAAGTAACAAATTTATTGAATAAATTCCTCGTAAATGTATCTTTATGATCTGAATAATAATAAATTTAAAGATTTGGAAGCTAGTGTTAATTTATTGAAATACGAACGGTGAAAAATTCGTTTGTCCTATTAGAAGTTTTGNAATTTTGTTGAATAAATTCGTCATAAATGTATCTTTACAATCTGAATAATGCTAAATTAAAAAATTTGGAACCTAGTGTTAATTTATTGAAATACGAACGGTGAAAAATTTGTTGATCCTATTAGAATTTTTTAAAATACTAAAATTTACAAACTCTGTCACAATATTTTTAATATTTTAGTACACCAGCAATCTNAAATTCGTCATAAATGTATCTTTACAATCTGAATAATGCTAAATTAAAAAATTTGGAACCTAGTGTTAATTTATTGAAATACGAACGGTGAAAAATTTGTTGATCCTATTAGAATTTTTTAAAATACTAAAATTTACAAACTCTGTCACAATATTTTTAATATTTTAGTACACCAGCAATCTAAAAAGTTAAACTTATTACAAACGCATAATCTTTTCAATTTAATCATTACTCTCATTATTGTATCCATTAATTAGCCTAAAAGCGTAAATATTGTGTCATCTTACTCTACTTGCTACAATTTAAATGACCTACGCTGAAATGTTTATTAGTACTTTATTAGTAATTTATTTGTAATTAATTAAAAAATGATATCTTGTGTATTTATATTCTCTTCAATTATTTCTGTTCGATTTCTCTTCTACTTTTGTCTGTGATAAATAATTATTACCTTGTCTCAGTGTAGAATAAGTACAATAATTCTAATGAATAAATTATTTGTGTATACAATTTTAGAAATTCGTATTTGACGTCGATTTTGAGGGACAGCTTGGGCGGAAACTGTATGACCGCCATGTTGGCAAATTTGAGTACCGTATCATCGAACATAGAGGTATGAACATGTTCGTCTACTCTTTCACATTTTACTCTAATATTTGAATAATCTTTATCGTTACCAGGAGACAATTTCTGCGTGCAGGTTTGCCCAAAGAGTGGCCATGATAAATAACGATGTGAAATTAGTCTTGCATACGAGCGTTCGAAGCGAGAACGCGTTGCTGAAATTGGAGAACGAGAGGCTCAAGAAACAGATTGAAGCGATGACAAAAGGGATTGTACGTTCGCACCTTTCACGCGGATTGTCAAAATTATGGTAGTTGATATTCATTTATCTGTTATTCTAAACGTAGTCATCCGAGGAACTAACCGCCGAAGATAAATGGAAGTTGGATGCTCAGATTAGAAACTTCATAGAATTCAACGCTAAGATCTCTTGGAATTACAGTTTGCAGAGTGTCGAATACTGTTTCGAAAGTTTCAGAAGAATTTTGGAGCTGAGCAAGGACCCAAAGAGTTGTTCGATGAAATTGGAATACTACAAAGACTTGGTTTTTCAAAGGGACAAGGAAATTTGTATCCTAATGCCATATTTTTGGTTTTCATCATTTTATTGAATTTTTCTATCGAAGGCTAGCTTTACATTTTTTTTTTATTAACGATCGCAACTTATGAAATGGTAACTTCCTGAAATAAAAATAGCTCTGTTAATCGATCTGCTGAATAAGGGAAAGGAGAAAAGGCAGTTCAGCGTGAAGGAAGGCTCTCTCAAAGAATCAAGTACTCGTTTGCGTTTACTTCCTGCATTCGTTCAACCAAGAAACTATACTAATTTTTAATTTAGAACTCCCCGGCGATAAACACCTGATTTTACCCGATGAAGCAGGATCTCTAACTAACAATCCCGATGAACTTACGTCGAACGTAGAAACGAGTGATTATGATGGACGATGTAATTTTCAACACTTCCATACAAACAATATTCCATAAGTTATTCCATTCAATTAACAGTAGATTTTTAATTTTAGCAGGTATGCAATTAGTGGATCACGCGAATAATGGAAATCGACCGACAACTGTTTCAGAAAGTCGAACAACGTGCACGGAAGATAACAAAACGAATGCTGCTGATTCATCGTCCGCAATGACTAGCGTTCTCGATGATAAAATATCAATTAACAGCGTTCGTTCGAGAAACCACAAAAAGAAATTCAAGGATTACACGCCTGTTCTGACGTGCGATTTTAACGATAATTCACGGAACACTGTTGTCAATGAAAGTAAAAACAATTGCAACAAGAACGGTGTTAACGACCGCCCTAACTTTCTCGCGAACAACATAGCGAACGTTCGAAACCGGAAAAAATCGCTCGAGCTAATTTCAGCGAATAAACATGTTTCCGTGAACAATATACAGCCGGAGTTGTTGAGCTGCAACATCGTCAATGTAACTCTGGGCGATTCGACGGTGAACAAGAATCCAGAAGAACAGCGACAAGTAGCTCGTAAGGCTGAAAAGAAACAAGCGAGGAACGGCGAAATTAAAAACTCGACGATTAAAAATGCCGAGACCACGCTGCTGTCGGAAAGTACAGTTAATCAAGAAAGTGACGGAAAGGCTCGCGGTAAAAATGTCAATGATTCTGTCGTCAGCGACGACGACCCGATTCTATTTTACGAGAAAATGTTGCGCTTCAATGGGCCCCAAAGTGAAACTAAATCGCCTCTGACTTCGGATTTGTCTACGATCGAATCTCAATATTCGAATAACATCATGCAGAGCCTCGACGCGAAATTGAGATCGCGAACTCAAAATTATGACTTGAAATTGAGGCATAAATTTCTCACTAACTGCGATTTGCTTCGCGAGCATCGACCGACTGCGTCGACTCAGGATTTTAACTTTGACAACAAATTCGAGAACGACGATGGGAATCGTTCGGTTTCCGTGAGCTCTTCCCGCGGCAGTTTTCAAAATGATCGATTCGTTGACAATGCGAGTTCGCAGAGGTTCGTGGAACCGCTCGTGGCAACCAATGTTCGCGACGAAGAGAAAGACGAGATCGCGCGGTACGGTAGAAGCAGCGTTTATTTTTCTAACCGTGAAATTGAGAGTAACGCGAGCAAAAGAAGCGGTGGTAGAAAGTCGAGTGTCGGCAGCTTCACGGCTGACCGGCAAGAAAAATCGAGTGCCAGCGCAAGAAGTAAAACTAACGATGATTTCCATCAGAAGTTGGATCGTGGTCGAGGTAACGGCAGTTTTGAAGACTCACTTCCTCTGACAGGTGATCCGGAAATCGACGAGGAGATCATTGCTTTTTACGAGGCCAAGCGGCTGGGCGGCGTTTATTAACAAACTCTTTTTCTACGAACCGCAACAGTGATTACAATCGCGCAGTATCAGCGCATAACTTAGTACTTTCGGTACCAATAGTAAGTTCACGTTTGCGAACCAATTTATACAAAACTCTTATAAGAAAACTTATACAATTATAAGCATAGATAATCGATATCCAGAGTATTCATTTCTCCTAAAACCGGTATGAATTTAATTTTATGTTCCTGGACACTTCAACGATTCCATGTCAACTTTCTCTCCGTACATTTTTGCCTCCAAGATCGTCAATCGATTCTCGTGGATCAAAGCGAGACAGTGTCGCTTCGCTAGACCAGCGAACTTTCGGATTTGGAAATTGTATAACTTATCGATGTTCAATGTAACGCTGTCCCTGTGTACGAAGCCTTGTATTCCTGGAAAATATGTACAACTTATGAGACGCTAAATAATCGAATATTTAGAAGTTACTTTGATATCAACCGTTCACCTTTGTACTCGTAGATTTGAAGTATCATCCTGTTTTCAACGAAGAGTAAAAGCGTCTCAACGTTTCCCTCGAAATTCAGAGCCGTGAACGACGTCGGCTTGTAAGCTTTTATGGTTTGCAAGATCTTTTTGCGTGCTCCATGGTCGTTGCAAATCTACAATATTTATATAAATGCGAATCGATTACTCCCACATATCGATGTACACGTGACTTGACAAAGTTTGCTGTCTTAAAAACATTCGACTTACGAATATATGATCATCGCTAAGATCTTCGCTGTAATACAAAAATATCTCTTTCTCGAATATTCCCGCCTTAAATTTCAGAACCTCGGGATTCTTCATTTTGTCAACATCGTGCTTGTTAGCCCTTTGGCTGTTGGTCAACAACAGCTGATCATCTTGTAAGACTATTTTCACGTCATTATCACGTTCTAGGGACGACAGAGCCTCCTCCAGGTCCTTCTTTCTTATTTTTGAAGATCGTTTCTCATTTTTCCGACTGATTATCTTCTGGAGAGCTTTTCGGTTCACCTTCCTGCTGTCTATCTTACGACCCAGGCTCGAAACATGCTGCGAAAGCAAATATTTAAGCAAAATTCGATCGATTATGAAGTATTGTATAAATTTCGGTGAAAACAAAAGATCACACCTTGAACTCGTTGTTCTCGAGTTTCCACAAATTCGTGGAGTTCCTGCCACAAACCGGTGTCCCTGAAGTAAGGAAATAAAGATTTTCGTTGTCTCTAAACGTGATCCATCCGTGAACGAACCCGAAATCGGTCACGTTGGCGACAGACTCGAATTTTCCTTCCTTGAACAAGTATGTCTGCATGCGGCATGTATTGTAGCTTATTATCAGGTAGTCCAAGCCGTCTAGCTCGAACTGGTGCAGGCTGACAATGCGATTCTCGAAATCGAAGTGCTGCAGGTAGTCGAACACGCTGAACCTATATATTTGTTTCTTGGCTGACAGCATCAGGTTATTTAAGTCTTGACATATGTCTCTGAGCCTCGCCTGTGAACATCAAAATCATCAATCGATCGAGGAATACGAGCAATGTAAATTTCTTAGGAAAAGAATGACGATTTTCGTGCAAAAATGAACAGATGCAGTACAGAACTATGAAGTCAGAAGAATTTAAGAATATTATTACACCATTTTCCACCTATTCAAATGAATAAAATGGAAGTTGCATTTTTAACCCTTTCGATACTACGGGCCACTATAGTGGCCCTCCATAAAATGTCACCGAGGTACTACGGGCCACTATAGCTGTCTCTTATACACATCTAGATGTGTATAAGAGACAGCCATAAAATGTCACCGAGGTACTACGGGCCACTATAGCTGTCTCTTATACACATCTAGATGTGTATAAGAGACAGCCATAAAATGTCACCGAGGTACTACGGGCCACTATAGCTGTCTCTTATACACATCTAGATGTGTATAAGAGACAGCCATAAAATGTCACCGAGGTACTACGGGCCACTATAGCTGTCTCTTATACACATCTAGATGTGTATAAGAGACAGCCATAAAATGTCACCGAGGTACTACGGGCCACTATAGCTGTCTCTTATACACATCTAGATGTGTATAAGAGACAGCCATAAAATGTCACCGAGGTACTACGGGCCACTATAGCTGTCTCTTATACACATCTAGATGTGTATAAGAGACAGCCATAAAATGTCACCGAGGTACTACGGGCCACTATAGCTGTCTCTTATACACATCTAGATGTGTATAAGAGACAGCCATAAAATGTCACCGAGGTACTACGGGCCACTATAGCTGTCTCTTATACACATCTAGATGTGTATAAGAGACAGCCATAAAATGTCACCGAGGTACTACGGGCCACTATAGCTGTCTCTTATACACATCTAGATGTGTATAAGAGACAGCCATAAAATGTCACCGAGGTACTACGGGCCACTATAGCTGTCTCTTATACACATCTAGATGTGTATAAGAGACAGCCATAAAATGTCACCGAGGTACTACGGGCCACTATAGCTGTCTCTTATACACATCTAGATGTGTATAAGAGACAGCCATAAAATGTCACCGAGGTACTACGGGCCACTATAGCTGTCTCTTATACACATCTAGATGTGTATAAGAGACAGCCATAAAATGTCACCGAGGTACTACGGGCCACTATAGCTGTCTCTTATACACATCTAGATGTGTATAAGAGACAGCCATAAAATGTCACCGAGGTACTACGGGCCACTATAGCTGTCTCTTATACACATCTAGATGTGTATAAGAGACAGCCATAAAATGTCACCGAGGTACTACGGGCCACTATAGCTGTCTCTTATACACATCTAGATGTGTATAAGAGACAGCCATAAAATGTCACCGAGGTACTACGGGCCACTATAGCTGTCTCTTATACACATCTAGATGTGTATAAGAGACAGCCATAAAATGTCACCGAGGTACTACGGGCCACTATAGCTGTCTCTTATACACATCTAGATGTGTATAAGAGACAGCCATAAAATGTCACCGAGGTACTACGGGCCACTATAGCTGTCTCTTATACACATCTAGATGTGTATAAGAGACAGCCATAAAATGTCACCGAGGTACTACGGGCCACTATAGTGGCCCTCCATAAAATGTCACCGAGGTACTACGGGCCATTATAATGGCCCTCCATAAGTTCGATCGTTGGTAGCGAATAAAGTCAGTGCTTACTGCAGAAAGATAATTCACCTTATTTTTCTCTCAACAACGGATAAATAGATATGCCTTATTTCTTTCAATTTCGTTTAACTTTATTTGGATTAACCCCTTTGCTACTAGCGGATTCTCCGCTGCGGTACCCCCGCAACGATAGAACGGCGTCTTGTAGCGTGCAGTGATGTCGCAGCGCGCCGTTCAGCAGAAGTACCGCGGCGGAAAATCCGCCCGTAGCGAAAGGGTTAATTTCTGTTTCAGACAATTTGATGATATCGATCTGCATAAAGATCTACAGTTTAGTAATCCAATGCTCATCTTACATTGGCATACTTGACCCACGCATCCATCTCTGAACGTCTCTTTCCCAAAGTATCCGCCAGCTTGGCGAGACTGGTGTCATTTAAAATATTGCTTCCTGTAGCACCATTCTCGAAATATACGCTACCATTTACTGTCCACTTTCCAGAAACAATTTGCGGCAAGAAATGACTAGTTCTTACAGCTGCAGCTTCCCATCGAGAAAGATCTATATCATTCAAGTAGCCGTTCAATACGCGGAGAGATCGGTTCAGAATGATAGGCTTCTCAAACAAAAAGTTCCCTGAAACAGTCAATTACCTTGTTTAACAAGCTTCTAAATCGATCAGATGACATTGTTATCGTTGGAAACTTATTGTTCATTTACAAAGTCATTAATAATCGTATTAACTGTCCTGAGAGACATTTTTTGGAAAAATTAAAATGCACTGTTTCACTTCGTTGAACATACTTCTACTTTTCTTCTTGAACTTCATTGTACGCTCTATGATCACCATAACTGTCTCTACGACCTACTAATCAAATTGCTATGGACTCCTTTTTTATTATTTTTAAAGCATATACCTATCCTTCAGACACTCTACTCTCATAATAGTTGCTGTTGATCATCTTGCTACCTAATTTCTTCTATATTTCATTAATCTTTTTTTTGTATTTTATCTTTTTTCTATGTCTGATAATTTTATAATTGCTATTATTTTATTATTGCTATTAATTTATATCTTACTTTCTCCTTCTCATTGTATTGTATTACATTATATATTATTATTATTATATACATATACATATATACAAGGTGTTCCGAAAATGTCTCGCAATCCGGAAATGGGAGGTTCCTAAGGTCATTTGAAGCAACTTTTTCCTTTGCAAAAATTTTCTCCAAGGCTTCGTTTACGAGTTATTAACGAAAAGCACTGACCAATAAGAGGCGAGCTCTGCTGGCGCGAGACGGCCGAGACAATGAGCGGAAGCAGCCGCGCGCCAGCAGAGCTCGCCTCTGATTGGTCACTGTTTTTCGTTAATAACTCGTAAACGAAGCCGCGGATTGCATTTTCGCTAAGGAAAAAGTTGCTTCAAATCACCTCAGGAATCCTCTACTTTCGAATTGCGACATTTTTGGGGCACCCTATATATTTTTATTATACTTCTATGACGGCTATTAGAAATCTTTTCTTTTTATTTCTTCTTTTGTAACAAAGGGTTGTGCCCGTATATACGAATAAAATTATTATTAGTTTGTAATAATCACCTGTCAGTGTACTATTTGAATTTAAAGGAATGGTTCGAGTCGGATCGATTCCATTGATCAGACGCGCGTTGAAATTACGGCGGATGCGAACCTGCCCTGTGAAGTTGAAGTGTCCCGTGATATTCTGACTGCCAGTTTTCTGAAAAAAACATGCGCAAAGATTGTCAAACATAATTTTTAACATTATTGTGCACGGACACGCATACACTTTTCAACGGAACACGGTGTTTACTTTCAAGTGAACACTCTGCATGTCTAAAGCTAACACGTTCCGTGCCGAGCTTTTTTTACTCGAATCTTCACACTTTGATATTTTACTAAAACTTGATGTATTACGTGCAATTATTAATTCTCGTACACATAACAACGTAACAAAAACTTATCAACGCCCATTCTTGCGGTGGAAATTGATTCTTCGGTTCTAAATTTCTTGTAAACAATTTGTTCAGTTCACTAAGTAAACATGCAAGCGTGTACCATCGATGGTACACGTGGCACGGAACGTGTTAAACGTACCATGAACGTCGTCTCTTGCACAGTTTTCAGGTTCTCGTCGTTGATCCTTCCCAAAAGTTCGAATTTCTCGACGGTGACGTTCAGACAGCGAAGACGATCCACCGGTATAGTTTGTTCTGATTTCAGTGATATCAACAACTTCATGTCCCAATCGTTGAATCTTTCTACATTGATATTTGACTGGAAGATGACGTCGGTGAGTTCAATGGTCTCTGCACAGATATCCAAGTAATAATTTTTCTAATGAAAATTGAAAAAAAATGTGTCGCAGAATCCGTCGAGGAGTTACCTTCAATGTAATTGGGTTGGTTTCTGTACAAAACGCCGAGTTTCAGTTCATTTATATCGATCCCCATGACGGTCTTTGCTGCCAAGTTTGTTTTAACGATTAAGTCTTTCTCAACTTTGATATCATCTTCGAAGACGATCTTCGATTTGATGAAAAATGGTCTATCGATGAAGACAGCGTTGTCCCAGAAACTCTTCAAGTCTATGTCGTTCAATTTATCGTGCACAAAGAAGTCGTCGTTGAAGGTGACAGAGTTCTTGAATACTTTCGCGCCAGAAATGACAACGTTGTCCTCGTTTTTAAAAATGACCGTCTTTAAGAAAGTGTCGAAATCTGTGCCTTGGATTGTCCCGTTTACAACGAGGTTCTTAATCCTCGCGTTACTCGAAAAATTAACTTTCTCGCGATATTCGTAGCTATTGTTACCGAGAGCCTTGCGCCTGTTGATTAGATCCTCGAATTTTACGTCGCCTATGTATCCGGTTGCATGGAATTTTCCGAGGACTGTCACGTTTCCTGGAGACGTAAAAAACACTTGCTCTTCACCTTATCTCAATCATCGAAAGTTGTCGATCATCAAAAAAATCGATCAATTTTATTGCTACCACGCAGATTGTAAATTACAGTAAATTGTGCAGAAAAATGAACAATTTGGGAAGAGGAGATACGATCGTTCGAGCCTCGAGGCTCGTTTCTATAATCGTCGATTGTTAACAATTATAAAAACGAGCCGCGAAACCCGAATACAGTAACTTCTCTCCAATTGTCCCTCAGCTTGTAAACAAAAATTGACAATTTGGGAAGAGCAGATACGATAATTCGAGTCTTCCACCTCGTTTTTATAATTGTTGACAATCGGCGACTATAAAAACGAGCCCCGCCAAGGCTCGAGTAATCGTATCTCCTCTTCCGAAATTGTCCATTTTTCTGCACAATCCGAGCGCGGATTAGGGAGAATTTACTGCAGTGAATTTTTACGTACCATTCACAATGACTGGCCCGGTCAACAACTGATCTTTATAAGGATCGAAAATATTCTCCAGGGGATGATCGTTCAAAGAGATCGCCTGCAATTCACGACAGTGCACGGTGGCGAATGTTTTGTGCCCGTCGACTGTAATATTGTTGTCCGTCTTCAACACCGTATCCATGACACGTTCCGTGAAGTTGATGTTGTTCAGTAATCCGAGGATCGTTAGATTTTCGATCGTAACGTTGTTTTTGAAAATCAATTTACTCTTACAGTTTTTATATAAATCCGACAAGTTCACACCATTGATCGAGTTAACGTTGATCTGTCCTGTCACCTTAAGAGAATCGAGACTCCTGTTTCCATTAGTAAGATCTTTCATGTACATGCTCAGACGATTCATCAGATCATTTATTTCGTCTATCGACATTCCGTTGATGAATTTCACGTCCNACCTTAAGAGAATCGAGACTCCTGTTTCCATTAGTAAGATCTTTCATGTACATGCTCAGACGATTCATCAGATCATTTATTTCGTCTATCGACATTCCGTTGATGAATTTCACGTCCATGCGATTACATTCCAGATTGTCGATCGAGTAATCGGTTATATTACGGGACGCCGCCAGACGCTCCGCGAAATTTGCAAAGTCGACGTCGTTGATCTCTTTAGGCGCAATCTCTTCTGCTATCAGAGTTCCGGTATTGAGACGATCGAAAACTATACTCTCGAACGATTCGTTCAATTTTCTCGTAAATTCGTCAAACGAAACGTCTTTGTTCACTGTGTCAAAGGACAATTGGTCCACGACTATGGGAGACTTGAAGAGAATTATCTTTTCGAGGCAGCTGCTGCCGTTTCCACTTTCGTTCAGCAGATTTTCTAATCTATCCGCGAATTTATAAGTTACATTTCCAAACGTGACCAGCGACGATACGTTCTTCAAATCTGAAAATATGCTCCGATGAATAAGTGGATCGATGATCACTTTTTAATATTTTTTTTTTTTATAGAATTTGAATCGTTACTAGGAAATTCTTGCTCCGTGTCCGTGGTCACGAATTCATCCATCGGGTGTCCGTTAATTAATCCGGACGTGATCGTTACATTGGATCTCATCTCGACGTTACCATGGAACGTTTTGGTGCCAGTTATTTTAGCGTCCACGTCAGTTTTCAATAGCAGATCATCGAACCTCAAAGGATACTTGTATAAAAATACCTTTTCAAAGATCACATTTCCGAGTACCGTCAGGTTGACAAACGTGACCTGAGACGTGATCTCAGAGGTCTCGTTCAAGAGCTTCGGTTCGATTACGTTCTGCCCTGTTACATTGCAGTCAATCTAGAATTTTCAATGATTCATAAATCCTTATGATTCGAATTGCGTACGAAATTTCAGGGTCTTACCTTAAGAGGGCCTTCTACGATCAGATCCTCGAATGTGATTTCTTCGTTCAGCACATTGTCTTCCTGCAGAAGTATGAAATCGTCGATGTCTATACCGTTTATAGTTTTGAGGCCGCTCAAGCTACCTACTCTCAGATGATTAAATGATTTTAGGCCGGTCACTTCCGTTGCAATGTTTCCGTCCACTAAAACGTAGTCGTACGGATATTGGAGATCGTTCAGTGTGCCCAATTCTACGCTGTCTGCGCTCAGCGACTAAAATAATTAAGGATAGTTGAATGGTTCAATTTTATTTTATATGGAAAATAAGACATTCGTCTGGGAATGAAGCTTTCGAAGCGATTAGCTTCATTAACGCTTAAACGACTAAAATAATTAAAGACAGTTAAATAGTTCAATTTTATTTTATATGAAAAATAAGACATTCGTCTGGCAATGAAACTTTCGAAGCGATTAGCTTCATTAACGCTTAAACGACTAAAATAATTAAAGTTAATTAAATAGTTCAATTTTATTTTATATGGAAAATAAGACATTTGTCAGGAGCTTTCGAAGCGATTAGCTTCATTAACGCTTAAACGACTAAAATAATTAAAGACAGTTAAATAGTTCAATTTTATTTTATATGAAAAATAAGACATTCGTCTGGCAATGAAACTTTCGAAGCGATTGGCTTCATTAACGCTTGACGCGTTTTCCACAAGCGGGCTTCGGGTGGATTAAAAATTCACTCTATTACGTTAACACCAGTAATTTGTTATTGTTACCCCTTCGATGACGGTGTCGCCAGGGATGACCGCATCCTTATTCTTCCACACGACGTTTTTCATGAGGTTCCCCCAATGAACGCCGTTGATCGTCTCGACGAAGAGGTCTCCCTCCACCACGGCTCGATCTATCTTCGAGAAGTCAATGCCGCTATAATTGTGTATCGAATTTGCAAAGCGAATATCTGTCACCGGGATACCATTTAACGAATAGACAGTGAGATTGTCGGCTTTTATAGTGGAAACTTTCGCGTGCTGTTTAACACTTTCATTCTCGGGCGGAGAATCGTTCTGCACGTCGACGTCGTTAATGAACTTTACAATTAGCTCGTCCACGTTCAAGCTACCGGAAGCGTTCATAGTTCCGAACATTTCGACGTCCGAATTGTGATCTAATTCGGCCGAATTCAAATTTAGGGCCTGCTCTAAATTCGAATCGATTTCATTAAGCTTCCGTTCCAGTTCCTTCAGCTGTTCCATGTAATCGGTCACGTTGAAACTTAAATCTTCCCTGGACAGATTTGCGGATCCCAACGTGACGGAATCATTGTCGAATACGGTTGCGTTCGTTGCACGCGCTACACTGATGTTCCAAAACCCAGTGATCACAGGATTTTTCAAGTAACTTTTCTTGAGACGCGCTTCCGTTTCGTTTAAAATCATCTCCTGGTGACTCAGAATGTCCTAAAAAAATGTATTTCGACCAACTTGTACGTTTTTTTTGGATAATTTTAATAAGTCAGACTTATTATATATATATGTATGTTTGTAAGTAATTATATATAAATATATTATTATATATATTATATTATACATTATACAATATATTTTTTTTTATTTACAAAATATTTATATATTTGATATAATATAATATATATAACTATAATATTGTATTATATTATATATAATATAATATATATAACTATAATATTATATTATATTATATATAATATAATATATATAATTATAATATTATATTAAATTATTATATCATAATATATTATTATTATATTAAAATATTAGATAATAATATAATTATATAATATATAATTAATTATATATTATATTTTGTTTATTACATTTAATAAATATTGAAGACTCAACAATCTCTCCGCGGTGTATTGAGATGGATGTTTCAGGTCTTTCAACTCCGTGTGAAACTTCACGAACTTATTCCCGAGAACGAATCCGAATTTTGGGATGACAGTGACTAACGACAGGTTGAATTGATCGAGAACGTTGTGCGGTAACGGTGTCCTCTTGAAATTCAAACCTTGCCAGCCTAAAGCAATGACAGTCGAGTTTTCAAGTTGAAGAAGCAACAGTGACTCGTCTCTGTAAGTGTCCAGTCTGATGTCTTTGATCCATAATATTTCTGAAGTGTCTGCAACCGAAATAAATGATCCACGTTTTAACCGAATAGCCGTCTAAATTACATTCCATTTGTAACCGTACTGCAGGTCCTTATGCAAAATACAAATTTCTTGCGCCAGTTACAAGGAAGAAGTTTTGTTTCTTCTTTTAGTCAGATCTGATAAGGTGAGTGGACAGCAACTGGAC